AGTCCTGGATAGCCAAATGCTGCTGTCTGGGTAAGGATGATGATGAAATGGTCACTGCAGAAAGGCACTTGCTCTCTCCTAATGAGGAGTCTTATTTTGGGAAGCAAGCTCCCTGTGCTAGACAGCTTTATTCACTACAAAGTGAGTCATTGCCTTTTTTTCATGCCTTGAGTACAGCTCATAATTTTGCAAAGATGTTGGTACTGAGTAACATCTAACGTCCGGTAGGAGGACTTGCTGCTAGGCCTGTTCTCCCATATCTTTTGCTGTGACCGAGTAAAGGCCCAGAATCGCACTGAGAGATTAGACTGGCCATTAACAGTCAGGAAAATAAAAACACTCCTACTTTCTCTTCCCCCTGCTCCATCTTTATCAGTTCAGCTTGCTATGAATCCTTTGTTGCCCTTCAGTGTAATCCTTTGTGTTAGACTAGGATCGATCTAGGTCAAGTTCTTTGTGTGTGACTGCATTAAAAATCAATTGCAACTGCACCTATCATCATCAGACTTGCTTGAAAAGTGGAGAACGCAGAGGTTGTCTAGTATGTTGGGGGTTGGAGGGGGGGGCAACCTGTGTGTTGTCCCCAGCTGAAGGAAGTGTCTTGTATCTCTACCTGCATTTTGTATCAAATGGAAAAACTGAGGCCCTGCTGGGGAGGGATCGTAGTGTCCAAGGCCTGGACAGCAGGCTTCCACCTAGCTCGTGCTGACTAATGATTTGTCATTCAGGGACCTGGGCTCAAAGGGGATTCCGGTTCAGTGCCTCTCATGAGCCTAAAACAAACAAGTTGAAACCTAATCCTAAGTCCAGGGAGCTTAAATGATCAGATGTAGATTATTGTAATGAAATTGATGTCACAGGGCCAAAGCATTTCTTGCCAAATAAAATACATTTGAAAAATTGATCACACAATGTTAGAACCAGGAGCCAAAAAGCTTCAGGCTGCTCCCATCTTCAATAGTAAGTAAACAAGAACACCGATGACTGTGGGAGCTGCGAGGTTAATAAGTCCTTTTGTAGCTTTTTTGTTTGCTCTATGAGCAGAGCAACAACCACCTCAGGCCCTGATGAATCTTTGTTCCCACAGAGCGTGCTCATCTTTAAAACTGCATAAAAGTCACCTCTTGTGAGCAGGTCCAACTGACTGAATTATTCAGGGCTTTTGAGGATGTGGACTTGTTATTTGGTATGAAATTGAAAGATCAAAATGCAAGCAAGGAGCTCATGTGGGTGAGGACAAATAACTCATCTGGACTCGAGTGGTGTATTTGCTCTCTCTGAATCCAAACCAGAACAAGTACGCTCAGGTCATAGCGTGAGTTCATCCTATGTGTTAATAGATCCTTGTGTATTAAACCTGGTGCAGATATGAAACACCTGTTTGTTTAACAATAAGATTTTGAGTAGATGGCTTTTTGGACAGCTGCTTTGGCTAAGGGCTGGCAAAAAGGATAGAGCAAGGAACACAGTAGACAGATTGTATAGAGCATGACAAAAAAAGACACGTGGCAGGTTTGGCCTGACCTGTTCCTAAAACAGCCGTGCTTGAGCCTCTGAAGAGTATGTGTAAAGCCACAGAAAGCATTCATGCATTATGTAGTATTTTCAGAGTGTGGGGGATGCTTAGACACCTCCGCCATGGAAATTACTGAGAGTTTACTGGCAGCGTTTTCATGCGTGCTGTTTTTCCACCTACTCCTTCCATGGAAGGCTTGTATTTGAAAGCTCAGCATAGCTGGTTTATGCAGCCCACGTAAAACTGGGATCAGACCATACTTATTTCTCTGGTGTCATGGCACATAGTACAGAGCTTGGACCACATGTCTATTTCTGGATGAGGAAGGTCACATTAAGCACAGGTGCTGGAGCTCTCCTTAGTACTTTTTTGGAACAGTAAAGTATCTCGTGCTGCTCCCAAATCATCAGTTGTATCTTTTTGATAAAAATAACTTGCCAAGTCTTGTTCTTATGCCCTTCATCTAATATAGTTAAGCGAGACATAGGCACAGGTGCAGAAGTGAGTCTGAATGTGTGTAACTCTCCAAACTGGTTGAGCTGGAGGGAAAATAGCACTCATTATACTTCAGTCATGTAGAATGTTTTCCCTCCAGCTCTTAAATTCGTGTGTTTCTGCAGCAGAAACAGGTGGCAGTCACAGTCTTCCCTCCCTCTGGAGCTGGCTTCCTGCCCAGAACAAAGCAGGTTGTTCCAAAATGGGTAGCTTTGATAGTACAAAGTACAGTAAGTCTTCAGATATCTTGATATTATAAAGAGTGTCCTGCACTTTGCTGGAACCACCTTTAAGCGCTCTTCGAGCTTCACGTTCTGTATCCTGAAATGACTACGTACCTACTTTTGTAGGTGCTAACTAACATACATGATCCTCGTTCCTTAGTCTTCAGTCCTGTTCCATCTGAATCTGCCAGCTGCCTTGATGGTGGGGCCCAATGTCCTGGTCAGACTCTGAGGTTGTTCAGTAATGTTTTCACGTGATGCTGGTGGTTTAGGTGCTTATGTAGGCAGTGTGAGCTGAGAGGCCTGAATCAGAGGAGAAGGATGGCAGAATTTAGCATTTGGTACCTCTGGTGTGGAGTTGCAGCGACACACAGCCTGTGCAGGCAAGTCCCTTGGATGGCTTTCCAGGCCATAGAAATTCACATGTGGATTTAGAGCATTTGCTTTGTTGGACAAGGGCAGAAATGCAGGTATCCTTGCCTCGTCTTACCATCACTACAGATGCATTGTGTAGGTAGTCTGTCTTATGGGACACTGAGTTGCACGTATTGCAGTCTTCTCGAGAAAGGAGTGGTATGTAACTGCTCAGTGCTGCAGAGCAATTAAAGTGAGGCAATGAAAATATGCAGTTGGATTCTTGCGGTGTGATGCATTGTGCACCTTCCCAACAAATCTGCTCTGTGTCCCCGCACAGCTCTGTACTTGTATGTGCAAGAATTAATCTTCCCTATTTTCTCCTTGATACGTGACAAATCCATGCATCGTTTTCAGTGGAATGTGCTGTCGCACAGTTGCGTCGCTTCCCCCCAGCTCCTAGTCCCTTGGGATGGAGGCTGCTGGAACGAATGCTCTGCCGCACGCTCCAATCTCAGCTCTGACAAGAGTGTTTTGTTTTAGCTAGTGTGCTGGGTGGAACGAGCGTGTGAGCCTTGCTCCAAATCCTGGTGCAAGCATCTGTGTAGCTACCACAACGTGGCGCTAATTTAGCTGCCTTGACAGCAATCTTGGGGATAGGTGATGGACCGGCTTTGTGACAGCCTGGCTCATTTTCTGCTCCCCACAGGCCACTTTGTATTGCAGCCTTCTAGTTTGGCGTTCTGGGAGGGGTTAGGCAAGCCTTTCTCAGCCATTCCCATACGGTGAAATTGTAGCTGTTTCCTAGTGTGTTCAGCAAATGACCGTTTCCTTCGTACTGTTGAATTTCTTCCTATTTCTGTTACTCGTGTTCATCCAGTTCTTTCTGTATGTTGTCCCTGTCCTCTTCTGTGTTGATGCTGTCTCCTAACTTGCGACTTCATGAGCATGTCCCTGGTCTCTGTGCCACTTCATTAAAATACTAAAATCCATCTCAAGGCTAACCGTTCAGGAACTGTACCAGTGATTTTTCTCCCCGCTAATGCTGCTTTCTAGTGTTACCCTTTATTTTCCCCTTTAGCCGGTTTCTTAGCTGGGAAGGACTCCTAAATCTCCAGTTTAAATAACAGCATGGGGAGGGGGTGAGGAAGTTGTTCTGAAGGGTTCCGCACATTGCTGCTGACAAAATATATTAGTTTGTTCCTTAGCAGTGTATTTGGTTGCTCCTTAGAGTAAGAAAGGATATCTCAAGGAGTCTTGGAGTCTTTTAGCCCATGCTACTTCCTTTCTGCTGGAAGCCCTTCCAGTAAAGAAATCCATCTGGTTTGGGTCCCTGAAGGACAAGGTGGTGTTCTGTATTGGAGAGGAGTCTCTGTTTTGACACACTCATTGCCTGGAGCGCTGCTGAGTCCCTCTGTCTTGCAGAGGGAGATAGTTGAACCCGTAGCCTCTGTGCACACAGGAGCTCATTAAGCTTAGTGAAATAAGAGGCGAGATCATGACATTTGCTGGATTTTATGTACCTGACGTTTCATTTTGCTAATCCTCTTTGTGCCTCTCGGACATGCTGCTTGTAGCAGGTCTTATTCTGAGACCATTTCATAGTGAAAGCCTGGCCTGTTACCACAGCCCTTCTGGTAGTGTTTCTTTGGATAAAGCTTCTGAAAAAGCTGGTGACCAAACTAGCTGCAGAACAAGGTTGCAGCAGGATCAAACTTAGTTTCCTTTTTCAAAAGGGTAGAACCGTGCAGCCTTTCTGGCTCTATGGGATTTAACACTCTTTGAGTCAGGGACCAGTCAGGACTGCAGCTTGTTTCAAAGCTTCTGCTTCTTGCCTCTGTTGGCTGCCATACGTGATGTGCGTGCAAGGCGGAGCGATTGCGTTGGTATCTGTGCGTGATGAGACCGATAATTCTTGTCAGTCCTATGTGGGCCCCCTGGAATATCCCTTTTCATTTAACAGTCAAGGACTCTCAAATGCTCTTGGCTGAAAGAAGAGGTTTTTAGAGTTATCCTGAGCGCTCTGATGTGTTCTGCAGAATCTAAAAATGTGCCATTCCTGTAGTACTTTGTCCCTGAGAGGCACATGTCCAAGAGCTGACTTCAGGTTGTGTTTCAAGCCCTGGCACATGGTTATAGTCTGTCTGTCCAGGGAGTCCCCAGCACCATTTCAAATGTAGGTCTCATCCTGCAGTGCAGAGCAGGTTGGGATTCTCCGTACCTCTATGCTAGGTGAGTTTAGCTATCGTAGGAGAACTGATCTGTTTGTAATGGCCCAGGGAATCATGGCAGCACTGAAAGCAGACCCTCTCAGCTTAGCACGTAACCAAAGCAGCGCAGCATTGTACTCAGGGGCTGTCCTGAGCATGTTTTTTTCCATTCCTTATGTTTGCAATTTATTTTCCTTGTAGCTTCCTTGAAATGATGGAAGCCCGAAGTCGAGGACATACGTCGCCACTAACAACTAATGGGCAAAGCCCTTCCTCTGGCTCCCAGTCACCCATCGTACCTCCGAGCTCCACATCAACGGGCAGCTCCAGCCCTGGCACCCCACAGCCACCACAGCCGCTTTCCACTAGCTCCACCGTCTCCCCTGAACCCTCCTCATCTTTTTCACCAGTGCCTGCACCAGACGTCCAGCAGCCCCACGCGCCTCCGCCAGCCACAGCCTCCCCAGCACTTCCAGCTGCAGTCCCACCACAGAAACGCAGCATCATATCACGTCTCTTTGGGACTTCTCCTGCATCAGAGCCCTCTCCTCCCCAGCCAGGTAAGTACTGAAGTGAGGTGTCCAGGCAGGAGGTCACCTATGGGTGTTTCTCTTTTGTCCTTTTTTCTTCCTCTGCAAGAGGCTGAGTAGACAGGTCTGAGGAACACAAGCATTGTGTGCGTTCAGCACATATCCCAGGAGAGCCATGTTGTCACTTTGTTCCTTTCTCCTGATTGGTGTTTTGATATTTCTCTGTGCTGGGCTGGTGGGGCTGGTCTTGGATGGAGACCGTCCGACCAGTTGGCTGGAGGCTATAGGATACTTCAGGAGGAAGGTGCCAAGGACCCAGGGGATGCTAATAAAGTAACTGTCAGCTTCTTAGCAGGAACACACATGCCTCTTGAATAGCAATGAAAATCATAAGAGAAGCTGTTTGAGGAGGCTCTGTCTTCGCAAAGTCTGGTAGCTCAGAAGGGCTCCTGTGTGTTGACAGAGAACAGCGAAGTGTTGGTTTTAAAGGTTACCTGGCCAGAAATGATCTCGTAAGTCCAGGACTGCACTGGCTCCGCAGCGGATTCCCCTCTGGGGAAATATCCTCCCTCAGAGATGCTCCAAGGAGGAGGGCAGCCCACGCCGACTTCCTTAACGCTAGTAAACAGCAAAGCAGAGTAGTGCAGCGTTTGCTCCGAGCCTCTGTTGGATGGAGTCGCAGGGAGGAGGCACTGAAGGCTTTGTTGCATTCACTTTTACTGATCTGGACCTTAATTCGCCTGTCACGTTCACTTTGCTTGCAAAGCTGACTGGAGCTGCAGAACTGGCACAGCCTAGAAATCATTAGCATGACATGGTTTGAATCACCCTTTGGAAATACCTTCTCCTTCAAACTGTCAATCCCTGGAGCTCACAGTACTCTCAAGACACCCACAGAAAGAAAGGAGGAGGTGCTGTGAAAACACTTTGCAGTCTCAGATGTTGAAATCTTTCAATTTTAGTTTTGTACACAGTGTTCTACCTCCTGAATCTGTTACCAGGTATAACACAATACACCAATATGTTTGTTTATAACTCCTCTTACCCAGAAACAAACAAACAAACAAACAAAGGAGAAACTGTTGGAAACCCTGTGTCAACAGAAAACCTTTGTCTTGCCCAATCAAGATGGGTCATATGCAGCAAGCAGACCTGTAACTTGAGCAGGATGCAGCTAATCTGCTTTCCAACTGGTGCTGGAAACGAGTACAGGAAGGTGGACATTCAGGACACACAAGATAGAAGTCTATCATAGGAAAAAAAGACAAGTTGCTCACCAGCAACGTTACAACCCTTTACCTTTTTTTTTTTTTTTTTTTTTTAAATTCATCTATCTCTTAGCTTGAGAACTGTTTTAAATTTGTGGCCTGCAGCCATGGATCTTGAGGGCTCTTTTTGGGAGGACTGCAAAAGGTAACTAGGAAAACCTGATCTATCGTTGTTAGGCTTAACTGTAGCGTGCAAAAGGTCTGCACCTCTACTGGAACATGTCTAGGTGTCTGCTAACTGGAAAACAGTTGAAAATCACTGTCACAAACTAACATTCAGTGTTTTCTGTGCAAACTGCTATTTAAGCTTTTGTTTGATGTCTTGCAGCAGCAATCAATTCTTCTGGCTGTGTTTTGCTTACGCCAAAGCTATGCTGTGACATCGATAGTAGTGTTACTCATATGCAGAAGTTAAGTGAAAGCTGTGCTAGTAGGACAGAATCTGTATTCATACAGAAAACTTGTTCACCCCTAAAGGAAAAGAGCCGAGGTGGGAAGGGCAATCGGGGCAGAAGAAAAAGGTTGAATATTACAAATTCTGAAAAGATTAATCTCTTTAGACTTGTTAAGCTAATTTCATGAATTTTCATCCTGATACCTTGAAGATGGGTAAAGGTTGCTCTGAATTAAGCAAGTCTTTGTCTGCAGTAGTTCTTGAGCTTTTAGTTACACAGGACATCTAAAAGCAAAGCATGAACAATTCTGCCTTTGACAATTACCCTTTAAAAAGCAAGAGGAGATGAGTGGGTGAACTGATCAGCCTGCAAAGGTAAGAGAATAACAAGGCAACAACATGCAGGAGTGGTGCACACAGCTAGCCTAGATATAAAAAGCTGGTTGTGGTATAGTTAACGGATTCTGTTCTATGGTGAATACTACTATCTTGGCAGTTTTTCAGACCTATTTAAGAGCTACATTCAGCGTGGTATATTGTACAACTCATTTGCTGTATGTATTATGTGAATACCTTCGTGCAGGTCTCTGTATTGATTTGACTATCCTGTTTGTACCCTTTCACTTCCCTTGCTGTATAGTTGAAGTCTTTGCGGCTGTTATCTGTGCGCTGAAGCGGCCCTGGGCGGAATAGATCTGTAAAAGCAAACTTTTATCTTGCTTATGATGAACCCTGCGCTTTACAACTACTGTTCCTAATGCAGATGCTGCTGCTGCTGCTCCTCCCCACCCTGAAGCCTCTGCAAAAGTGCAGAGCGTGGAGGACTTTGTTCCTGATGACAGCCTGGACCACAGCTTTCTAGAAGACTCAGCCCCGCAGAAGGACAAAGGGAAACAACAGACTAAATGTCGTGTTGATAGCGAAAGGTAAGCAAAGGGGGATGGAGGGAGGTGAGGCAGGGAAGCATCTGAATGTGCAGTCTGAATGGTTGCTCAGGCCTGGCTAACCTCTTGCAACTGTTCAGAAGGTGAGTGACCTCAGAGCAGTGAGCTGTCCTTATGCCTTTCGGTCTTCTGCCATCTCCCATGGAATGACGCACGCTTACCCTGGGGAATCGGAGAAAAGGGAGTAAAAGCCATTTATTGCCTTCCTGGGTTTGCTGTCTTGCTTACGTGCTCAGTTTTAAACCGGTGGGTTGCTTTGGGTTAGGAAGGGATTTCCCCTCTTGCCGAATGTGCAGAAATGTTTTAGGTGTTTTCCCTCTGGAACGTGATTCAATTTGTAGGGTTATTGCATTTCACCTAACATTTCTTCCCAGAGGCCCAAAGTGTGGTCAGGTGCTTCTTGGCTTGGCACTGCTGTTTCTAAGGCGTTTGGAAAGGGTTGGTGTTTGTGGGAGAATGGAGAGAGTGGTGTTCCTTTGGGAATGTCTTTGCATGCTTGCCTGCAGGCTCCAGAAAAGTCTTAGTGGGTGCCTTCCTTTTTCTCTAGACTGTCCATTCCTAGTGTTCCGTCACAGCATCCTCCCAATAGTAGAGAGCTGCGCTCACGTTGTAGGCTGGCTTTTCTTTGTTTTTCTTGGCCTTTTTATCCAAAAAAGGGGATTATGGTGCCCTGAGCTGCTCAGACAAGAGGCTATGCAGCAGGATTGTCTGAGAGCAGGCTATCATTTGAGAGGTGACCCAAGAGTACTCCACAGGCTCTGCATCCATCTGCTTAGAATAGTCCCTGCCGGCTGCCCCTTGTCACCACCACTGCATGCATTAACCAGGAGAATAATTAAACACCGATAAAACTTGTCTGTGAATGTTGTGGATTCTGCATCATTTGACATATTTGTCGTGACTTGATGTAGTTCGACCATAACAGCTTGAAATCAGTGCTCTGTGTGAGGCTTAATTTCTGCCTGATGCAGGTCAGCGTGAATCATCGTTCCTCGTAATGTAGGACGCGTGGATTTTTTTATTATTTATTTATTTATTTTTATTTTTTAAGCAGTATCTGCTGGAAGTGTGCTTACCTACAAAGTGCCTTGCTCTTGGCTGTGGCCAAGTTGTGTTATATTTTTTATGTTTAACAAAGAAACATCAGGAGGGCCAAGCCTGGCCTTTCTGGGGTTTGCTGCAGGACTGGATTCTGGAATGGCCTTAGAGCTGCAATTCTTGCTGTGGGTGAGAGGCTGGATCTCTAACAAAGGCTTTTCCTCCCCGGAACATCAGTCGCTGGAAACAAATTGGCATTAAACATCTCAAACAGTGGCACAAAAGCCCTGCTCCTTGTAGAGCTGTCACTTTCTTGGCTGCTTTGATGGCCCCTCTATGCTCTGTCTCCAGTCTTGGAGACATGCCTTCCAGTGCCTGTGAGCCAGTAGGGGGGGGAAAGGAAGACCTTTGGGCTTTCACTGGATACAGAAAGAACACATTGCCTACTTCATTCTTTGAAGACAGCGGTAACTATCTGCAGCTAGAACAGCTCTTGTTTCCCTGGGAGAAGACCCTGCAGTACATGCCTACAAATTCAGGTACTAGCTATTTCTCTACAGTTTGGCATCCATGTCTTGTTCTGGTTTCTTATATAGTTTATATAATTTCCTGAGCAGTCTGGTAATTTTACCTTCTGTTTCTTGCCAGAAAGTGCCTACCACAGTAAACCAGACTGCTGAAATTCAGAGATGTAGTATGTGGTTCTTTTCATAACCTGTGCTAACTGATTGCCTCCAGGACACCATTTACGACCCCACAACGTCCAGGAGAAATTTAAGAGTTCTGTGAGCATCATCCCTAATAATCTGCCTCTACTGCAGCAAGTAGATTGTTGCAGTTGCAACAAAATTTACTGCAAAAGTTTATCTTTGGCCTAAATAACACAAAAGTTCTCCGGTGAAACCACTGGAGATGTTTGGGTTTTAAAAAACAAAACTCCTGGAAGCTGCTTTTCTTGCAGCTGAGTGAGGAACAAAAGCTGGAGAATCACAGAATCACAGAAGGGTTGAGGTCGGAAGGGAATCTTGCTAGAGAGATGCATTCAGCTCTCCTGAACATTTTTTAACCAGAGATCTAAGCCTTAAGTTTGCACAGCTTACCAGCATCTCTTCTGTGTGTGTTATGACAAAGCATAAGCTCCTAAACTGAACAGCCATACAAGCTGTAGTAGGGAAATGGGCTTTGTGTTGAAAAGTTGTAGAACTTACTTCTCTTACGCAAATGAAAGGAGAACTATCTTGCTGTCTGTATGCAAGCATCTTGTAGTTAGCTCATGTGGGAATTCGTTAGTGCACAGTGCAGTTCTCATTCAAGGTTGGGGGCGGGGGGGGTTACACTTCTGTATTGTGCTATGTTGTGTAACTGAACTGCTTCCTGACCTTTATAGTGTGCTTGCTTCCATTTTGTAAGAACTTGTTTGCTTTTCCTTTTTAAGCTTCAGAAAGAGGCTACAAAGTCTGATATTTCTTGTGTGTTTTAGTTACATAGGAAATTATTTGATTTTTTTTTTTTTGGTCAGTTTTGCCTGGTGAACTTCTCTCCTCCCATTCTCTGCTCTGTAACATCTCTCAACAATGGAGCAAGAGCTGACATGGAGCAGTAATATTAGAAAAAATTGTATTTTTTCTGAAGCGTGCTAGCAGTAACTAGCAGTGAGGAATGAGCTCATGCCTGTGGAGCAGGGTATTTCTCGCCTGAAGATCAGACAGCTGCCAAGACTTTCAACTCTTACTGAAGTGCTAGCTAGCTCCCAGCACGGCTATGCAGAGAATTATGCAGTCTTGATTTTTGTTTAACGATGTGTTATAGTTCTCTAGCTAGAACTCCCCAAATCAGTTTCCTCACCAGCTCATTAGGAAGGCAGTTCAATTTCCTAATTAGCTGTTGCAGCACTTACCTTGCTGCTGTTTAGCCTTGAAACCCTGAGCCGGTGTGTATGCGACTGCACCAGAGGAGCTAATCGGGTTCTGGATAGGCTCCCCTATTCCTTCCTGCTGGGTTAAGGTGGCTTAAGTTCATGGAGAGGTTGCAGGTCTCTATTTGAAAGTGAGCTTATGCAAAGCCTAATAGTATTGCAGTTTTGTTTTCTCCATATCAGTAGACCTTTCCTGAAACATGGATTAGATTTCCATGTCCTTAAATCTGAAGGGCTTTGAACTAGTTTTTTGCTTTTGTGACATCTTTTATTTACGTGGTGTTACCCAGCTGTGCTAGACCAAGGAAGGGAAGCTGAGGACATGGTTTGGTTCACACCGGATCTCATCTCCTAGCATATAGTCTTGTGGGCTCATCCTGTGAAATACGATTCCCTTAGCTTATCTGCTATGTTAGATTTTGGGGTTTTCCTTCTTTCTCTAGCCCCAAAATTGACATAGCAAGAGGATTCTTCTGGATCTCTGTGGGATTGGCTCCGCTGGCCATATGGCAGGGCTGATGGAGTACTGTTGATCCAGGTTTTGAAACTATATGCTCAAATTGCTGCAGGATTTGTTCCATCACCAGAAGCTGTTTTGTATACACCATGGAGGGCTCACTCTGAGGAACCCCCAACATGCTCTTTGATCACTAGCTCAGACACAGACCTCCGCGAGCATAGTCATTTTTGGTGGGTACCTGCGCCTGAAAACACATTGGCTCAATACCAGCACAGGCTTGGCAGTGTGTCAAGTGTTGGAGAGAGTGGTGCAATGTGCTTGTTTTTGCCTGCTCTGAATTCCTTCCAGCTGGAATCTCAGGACCACAAGCTGATACTAATTTTGCATTGTCAGACCTTGTTTATACTGCAGTAGTGATTTTCCTGACGTATATTCCCTTCATTGCTTTGCTCTTAAGCTGTCGCTCAGTGATTTGTTTGGAAGTTGTAGATGGAGGCAGTGTGTTCACTGCAAAGGGAGATGACCCACATTTTGTGTGTGTGTGTGTGTGTGTGTGTGTATGTACACATGGATGTGCTTTCTGTTCAGACTAGGAATGTTTAAAGACTGCAAGGCAAGTCTGGTGTGTGGTAGAAGGACAGTAGCAAAAGTAATAATCTCTGAAGAGTCCCCATGCTTAGTAGAGCAGCGACATGTTAAAGAAATGCAGTGTTACTAGTTCAAAACAGTACACAGCCATTTTTAGGATTTTCTTTTCAGTGCATTTTGAGAGGATTCCCCGTCAGTTCTTCCCAGACCTTAGAAATTTCCCACGATTTCCTTAGAAATTTTCCTCCAGCCAGTGCGGCACGTGGCAGCTGTTTGGGGCGCCAGTATTCTCCTTTGTGTGGGACAGGCTGTGAACCTCCGTTCTGGCTCAAAATGAGGGCAGGCAGCAGTGATGATGATGAAGGGACTCTTTGGCAGCCTGCCTTTGCTGAGCTGGGAGTTGTATTGAAAGATCCTGAAAGCAGAGGAGCATTTCAGGACTCCATGTGGAAAGCAGGAGGAGGGAATGGATGTTAGACCTGATCTTAGCACTCTAACCTGGACAGGCATTAATTGTAATCCTTCTTAATGTGCTGTCCCGTTTGTGATGACCACAGCGTCCCATACGCTGCAAATGTTCCATAATCTGTTGGCAGATGTGTAAATTCTTTCAAACTAACTGATAAACAGTAACTAGACATAAGAAAAGCCAGAGTGAATAGTAGAAATAGCTGGACTTTGTTAAGGTCTTGGCGTTTCCTGTGCCATCAGCACACCGTCCTCTGGAGCTGGTTGCTGTCTCTTCCTGTACTACCACCACTTTCCAGGTTAAGGATTTTAGTTTCATGTCATTTCTTCTGTGCCTCTGAAGCACACACATTCCAAGTCATAATCATTTTCTTTGATTTGCATGAAAAAGAAGGCTGTGTTTGTGCAGTCTATATCAAGTCATTAAAAGGACAGCAAATATTATTCATGGTAGGTTATCAGGAAGTAAATGGGTGTCTGTGAAAAAGAGCACACTAGCAGATAAAGCAAATAGAATAAAGAAAGGTAATGCAAAGGCTCATCAGCTGAGACTGTAAAAAAATCTGTATTCCTGACATGAGCGAATCCTTGGGAAAGTATTAAAACTGCGTGTCCTGGGGAAATTCAAAAAAGAATCCTCAGCTGGTAATTTCAGCTGTGAAGCTCTCTATCAAGATGTCTCTGAAAGCATAACTGTGTTATATCCAGGGAGTCTGAAAGACTCTTAGCTCTAAAAGTGTGTCCTTAAGTTAATTTAGGGAATGTTAAAGCATGGTTATGTTGTCTGAGTAGCTGCCTGCTTCGGGGAGTACTACAGAAATAGAAATAAGTCCAAGAAGGTAGTAGCTGCAGGTGAATTCCTGTAGTAGTGACAGTAGATGATCAGGTTTAATTACAGGTTGCAGGGATTAAGGCAAGCAGTTCCTACTGTTTAATTGACTGATCCTTGCAAGTCAGACCAGAGACGTTCTGATAGAGACCCTGCTGAAGCAATAGGCTGCTCTTTAGCACCAAGGCCTGCCTTTTCCAGCCACTTATATTAGGCTTGAGTGGTGGCAGCCGCTGTGTGACATCCTTCTGCTACCCTTCTTGGTCCTGGGCTTGTGGCACCCCTGCACTTTATGGGAGCAGGTCCAGCCTGCACCAGGCACTGGGCTGGGCACTGCAAAGAGGGGAGGCTCGCGATGGAGCCACCCCAGGCTAAGGAAAGTCAGTCCTGGAGCTAGCCCTAAAAGCCCAGCCAGTGCCACCCTGCTTTCAAGGGGGAAGGCAGGTTTGTCCCAGCGCCTCCTGCTTTGTCTAACCTCTGTCTGCCTTTGCAGTGATGGAGAGGCACCTGGGGGGAACCCTATGGTGGCAGGTTTCCAAGACGACCTGGATCCGGATGACAAAATGCCCAGCAGGCCCATGCTGGCAACAGAACGTGTGCCCAGCAAGAATATCACCCTGTCCAGCGAGGAGGAGGAAGAGGAAAAGGTGAAGGACTCTAAGGTCGTACTCATGCCTGATGAGGACGTTGATGCTCAACATGAAAAAAAAAGGTACAAAATACAGTCTGAACTGTGGGATTGTGTTGGCCGACTTGGGCCTCGGGCCTCTTCTCAACCCTGCCGCTGACTTCCTATGCAGCCTCTGAGAACTCCTGGCGTCTCTCTGAGCCTGTTCCTTAAACTGCAAGCTGGGACTGTATTTACTTTAGGTGTAACTGATTTATGTCTTTTTTTTTTTTTTTTTTTTTTTTTTTTTTTTTTTTTTTTTTTTTTTTTTTTTTTTTTTTTTTTGGAAGGCAGTTTGTAGTACTAGTATTTCTTACGGTACGGCTGCACCCTACGTAAGTAACATGTCAGCACCGGTGAGCCATGTAAAGTCCTTCTGTGGTCCTGCTACATTTCTGTTTGAGAATGGCCCAACCTTTTTCTTCACTTTGAACAAGAGACTGTAACCAAGCTTCTGAATGTCTGTTCCTAGCAGTGTGAGGAGAACAGAGGAGTCAAGTCTTGTGGTGAGGGGAGTGGAAGTCATTCACCACACCCTGTGCTAGAGAATGATGAACTGAATCGTATTTTTCACATATACTATGGTTCTGTGGGTAACACAGGCAGGCTTGGCCCACCGATACAGGCACCTCTGCATCAGCATCCTCAGGGACAGGAGAGCTGTCTTTCAGCATTTGATTACTGCCAGAAACACTTTTGACCTCTGAATGGTGTGTTTTTTGGACGTCTTCCTTCCTCCTTCCTGGATGCGCTATATCTCCTTTTGAGATAAACGTTGAAGCCCTTGAGGCTGGCTCAGCTATCAGCTGGTCATTTTGTTTTGCCTGTGCAGCACTGAAGGGAAAAAAGAATGGGATTTGGAAAACCAAAAGAAAAGTGCCTGTTCATCTTTTGAACGTATTTCTAACGCTGGCTAGACATGCTTGATTATTGTGATCAGAGAGCCTGCCTGTTGCAGTGACAGATAGACATTAAGAAAGCATTAGGCTATCAAATCTGTTTTTAGTAGTCCTACTGGAGATGGGGATAGCTCAGTGTCTTACTTGTCTCCAGTGATGTAACTCCTGGAGTTCGCTCTCATGGCCTCTTTAGTGGGTTTGAGTTTGAGGGCTCTTGTCATCCCACTCCTTAAAGCTTGCCTGGAAGAGGCTGGGAACACAATTTGGGACTCAGACTGCTGGTGTGGACAGGCTCTGACAACTTGTTCCTTTCTTTTAAGGTCTTCCAGAAATTCTTTGAAACCACAGAGTGAAGTAATTTTGACCAAAGCAACTGATCCGAAGCCTCCAGACAATTTACCTGCACGTTCTGGCTCTGAAAGAAACAGCAGCAGCAAGCTCAGCACTGCTCTGCCAGCTGCTGTTGCTGCCACCCCAGCAGCAGCCCAAGCCCCAAAGACCACTTCCCAAAGCAAAGGACATGCTCTCAAACAGAAAGTGGTCAAAGAGGAGAAGCCTGAAGAGTCTGACAGTGATCAAGAGGGACCAATAGCTACTCAAATGCTCTCATTTGTTATGGATGACCCAGACTTTGAAAGTGAGGAGTCTGACAGCCAGAAAAAGAAAATGGTAAATAACATGCATGAATCACTGGGTGCTACTGCAAAGCTGAGCTGGAAGCGTTGAGGCATCTCACTGAGCAGGGCTTTCATCTGCTCTCCTGGTCTCTCAGCAGCAGTCACAGCAAGTCAGGTGCTAAGCAACCTGAAGAGCTTGATTTGAGCACAAACTTGCTAATGCTCTGATTGTTGAAGTCACATGGCAGTGAGGTTTGTGATCGTGGATTTTAAGTGTGCTATTTATTCTCAGTAACTCCAGAAATTAGTCAGTTCAGCAGTGTGGAAATATGGAATACAAAACTGAGGGGTTTTCATCCCAAGTTTAATATGTGGAAATGTGTACATGCCACAAGTGGGCTCCTTACAGTCAGTCAGCAGTCAAAAAGCCATAACTAAATTTGCTTGGCAAAACTCATTAGTGAAGTAGCAAAATCTGCCTGAGAAGGACTTTCCAGCAGAGTCAGGTTGGCTGTAATGTCTCCATGATGTCCCACACATGGGCTGTTGCTCAGTGCAGCCTGCAGATGTCTGCTCAAACACAAGGAGCAGCTGGAATCTCCTCTGGACCTGTCGTGGATTAAAGATGGAGAAAATACAGGTATCTTCTCTGGGCTCATAAGAACTTGCTGATGTGGCTCTAGTTATCCCTAATTTCAGAAATTTGCATTCAGACATTCAAGCAGTCTCTGTAGAAACAGCTAACTGATTTGAGAAGGCGCTTGCTGTTCAAAGGTATTTCTGGTGTCTGAGTTAGCTGTTGTTTGGGAGTGTTTTATGTGTTTGCCTCATTCTAGAGTCTTGCAGAAAGGACAGTTGTCCCGGTTTCCCTGACCTTGGCTATCTGTCAGCCTGTTTTTTGTTAAGTAATTTTCCATTTGTTCATTTTCAGTACTTGCTTTTCCTGGTACCTTAATATAAAGGCAAAAGTTTTTGGAGCAAGTTCACTTCTCCTAGAATGTGATTATGAGAAATGGGATTTGTAAGGGAGGTCACCATTGCAACGTTGCCAGGGAGATGCCCCTCAACTTATGAATGCTTTTCAAGTACAAGGTTTACTGGTCAGGCTAAGCAGTAAAAACGCCGCCACCAGCAAGAGGGAGGGGGAGCATTTCCAAGCCATGACAGTTAGGTCAGGAGCACAGTGAGGCCCTGTTTTGCCAGTACAGAGAACATCATAAAAAAAGAGGAGTTAACAAATTCTGAAGAGGATCAGCTGGCACATATCAGATCATTAAACTTCATTTCCATTTCCATTGTACAGCGAGGGAAAGGATTTGGGGGTGATATGCAGCCTCTGCAGGGTCCCGTTTTTAGCCTACATGTAAGAGGGAAATTTGCATCCAAAGGGAGCAAACTCCCTTTTGGCTTGAAGGAGGGATTTATTCTGCAAGCAGAGACTGCTTCCTTGGCCCTGCTGCGTGTTGCCTCTAGCACGCTAGACCCCACAGAGCTACACAGCACAGGTTTTTGTCCCTCAGGTCTGGAGATCGGCTTTCAGCCCATCAGATCTGATTTTCCCTGAAACAGAGGTGTCTCTTCAGGGCTGTTAAAAGCTGGTGCTGTTGAGCTAACACGGTTGAAAGTCTTGTTTAATCCTTTTACATTAAGGAATTTGATTTTGCTAGCACAAATGTTAAGCACCAGAGTGCGCTTTCCAGTAGCAGTGCTACCTTGATATTTTACTGTAAGAAAAAAATAGAGCTTATAGGATCGAATACGTTGATACCCAGGCAACGACAGCCGAGTTCTTCAGCTGCCATTTCCTTCCTTCCTTCCCACTTTCTCGCATGTGGAATCTTTGTATGAAGAGCACTTGGCTATTTTGTTTGAAAGATTCGTCTGTGATGCCTGCTTTCTGTTGTCTTTAGGATGAATTTCCCATCCGGGAGGATCTCTCTGAAATATCTGATGACGATACCTCTTTGGCAAAACCACCCCAGCCTGTGAGATCAACGGTCCACTCCTTTAAACTGAAAAATGACTCAGATCTCTTTGGCTTGGGTTTGGAAGAAACTGGGCCCAAGGAAAGCAGTGAGGAAGGTAAAGATTGCACCTTGTTTCCATTCTCGCTGATCTTATTTGTCAGGGATCTGGTTTTTCATTTTCCAAAATGTTTCCAGGGTGTAAGCAAACCAATTTGCACTAATTAAAATACCCTATGATTTCATGCACTGCCCTGTGTGAGTGTTTAATGTGGTTTAACACAGCATAAATAACTTTCTTTTAGTTTTTCCAAGGGAGAGGGGAGGGGGAGCTTGGCTGGTCCATGGCATCAGCCATGTGTAATTTCTGTCCCAGCTGGAAGGAGGAGCACATCTTTCTTTGAGACTTCCTGCTTAGCCTGGAAATGGAAGTTCGGCACTGCAGTATCCACCCCCTCAAGAACTTGGATCAGTCTGAGCAAAACGCTCTGACATACCCTGCCAATTTGCTCTTCTGTTTTTGGGAAAGATAGGTTACAATCAGAACCCCACCCCAAGCATTCCTCAGGGTTTTGGGTTTTTTTTCCTGTTCCCTGAGGGAACAAATCTTCCTTGTGCAAATAATTTCTGCTGTCTTGGCACTACTACAAAGCTATTTCCTATAGATCTGCCCCTGATGTCACCCAGAAAGATGGGATATTAAAGACTTGAGGGGAGAAAAAGCTGTAAGCAGCACAGGAGGGATTTCGCTTTGAATAGCTGTTCCACGAGTGTAAGAAAGATGTCAGAGGCTGTGATGGCTTCATCAGCTTGTCGCTTTGAGTTGCTGAGCAGCACAATTTGCAGTAGCTGGCTAGAAGTGAATCTGCAGAAGCTCGAATAAATAATTAAATTTCAGTTTAGCGTGTTTAATAATCCAGCGTGGGTTCATCCTGTCTCCTCTCTTTCTTGAATGAATATAAAAACATATCTTGGTAGTCAGTTGGTTGGAGCTTGACCAGCAATTAGATTTGTCCGTGGTGGACTTGTATTTACTCATCAATTGAGGAAGAGAGTATATAAATATGATATTGGCAAGTATATATCACAGTCAGTGTCATTATAAAACCTCCTTTGTAAAAGGCAAATAGATACTCTTGTATTCAAGAAGGTTCTTTGCAGAGGCAGTGGAAGTTCAGCAGTCAAATTAGTTGCTGAGCCATCGTTCACAGTAACCTGAGACAAATGTTTTGACAGTGGTTGACTCTGAGGCTCTTCCAGTACAGTGAAATTAGCCACTGTTGAGAAGGGCTGTAGCACTGGTGCTTTGGCCTTATGAGGATGCAGTTTTCATAGACATTTTGAATGACAGCGAGTGTTGACCTGCTAGGATGCTCCCATCTCCTGACAGCATGTCTTTAATGGTCCTTTCCATTGCTATCTGGACTAAAGCACAGAACATGCCTGGTCGTATCTGTGGTTGCAGGGGTATTTCCATGTGTCTTTGAATGGTGGTGGTCAGAAGCAAATTGTTCCCAGGAGCTCCTCTTCAAATTTGGATTTAAGTCTGGTTCCCAGTTTTGCATTTGGGCCAGTTCATAGAGCTGGTCTCTGTACTGTGGTTTTGTTTTTGTCTTTTGTTTTGTTCTCCCCCCCACACACACACACACCATGTGAGTGGCACGTGTGTCCACAAGATAGACATGTGTCTAGTTTAATGAGGGTCTGACTGCTGGAGCCTATGTTGGCTTCTAAGCCACATAGTTTGGCCTGAGGAATCAGAATTGCCTTTACATGTGGCTCCAAGACAGAGCATTTTGTTCCCAGAAGTAGGACTGCTGAGGTAGAAGTGCATCTCTCATGGTTTAATTTGATTAAAAAGAACATTGTTTTCTTGTTTGAACAGATAAACATCCCTCTAAGGAGAAGAAGAAGAAGAAAAAGAAAAGCAAAGAGGTACTGTTTCATTCCTGAGCCAGAGAGGGGTGGCCTTCTACAGCATACACTGTATACCTGGTGGACTTTCTTCCATTCTTCCATCCTACAGCCAGATCTGTGCTCCCCACTGCAGAGCAAACTTTCAGAACAGTTAAATTTTGAAAAGGCAGTGCGTGAGTTTGTAAAATGTAATATTAAATAGAGCTATGCATCTCTGTCGGGTGGATTCTGTTGATTAGCACCATGGCTTTTCTCCAAGCAGAGGGTGTCCTAGACAGAGCTAACCACAGAGGTAGCAAGGGAAGTCTGCAGGAGGCTTTTTCTTTGACTTTCTTGTCCAGTGTAGTCAGGAGATAGCACAACCTGATAGACCACTGCTAGGTGTAAACCAGATGGTGTTTCCTCTCTTCTGTCCAAGCTAGCAGAAGGGTCTTCTGGAACTAACTCCCAGCCAGCCTCCATAGTGGACTCACCTCCCTAAGTAAGGTTCCTGTCAGAGCCAAGTTTCAGGGTGATGTATGCTGGGTTGCTGGCATGCTCAGAGGGTTTATTAATAAAGCATTTTCTCATTTGCAGGAAGAGGAGAAGTCTATGAAAAAGAAGAGCAAACACAAAAAGAGTAAAGAGAAGGAGGATGGCAAAGACGAGAAGAAGAAAAAGAAGAAGCGGAGCAAGGAGAAAAATGAGATAGATGAACTGGAGGCTTTTCTTGGAGGAGGAGGAGGAGCCAGCATGAGTAAGCCGCGAGGAGGCGGAGACTATGAGGAGCTGTAGACCAGCGGCGTGTGAACGCAGCGGACTCTTCTATCAGTGGCTGTCTCCATCTCTTCCTATGAGTCACACCAGGACAGGTGCAGATGTGTAAAGCTTTGGCCGTTTGCCGTATAGTCCCTCAAAACAGAGCTGGCAGAGCAAAAGCTTTACATCTGTGTGTGCTGCTCTGGTGCATTTGTTACACAAAGAAAATTCAGCCGTGATGTACTTGAGTAAAGGCAAGGTTCAGGATATGATTCCCAGGCCTACTTCCAGGCTGTTATTCTTTCTCCTCCCAGAGATGCCCAGTTGGGTAGCTGGCAGAGTATGGGAGGCAAAGGGGACCTGCTTCCTGCTCCACCCCACCTATATTGCTCTGCTGCACGCCTGAAATTCCTGTCTTGTTAGAGGAGTGCAACAAAACATGCCGCATGAATGCCTCATGCTCACCTGTCTCAAGTCTTTAACTTTTTATCCTTCCTATTCTTTTAATGAGAAAGGTGGTCCTGGCCATTGCTCCACCTGGCAATTGATGAGCTTTAAATTGAGCAGATTATGCTATGTACAGCTCTTTAAGCAACCAAGGGCCAAAATGAGAGAAGTGATTTTGGAGCCCTTCTGAAAGGGACCTTTCAGCACAGCAACTTAATTAGCACTCACTGGTGCTGCTGTTGGAATTCATGAAGCCCCATTGATTTCCGTGGCCCCAGTGTCTCAGACACTACACGTAAGCTGCTATGCAGTTTGGGAAAACAATGCAAAGTGCAAAGCTAACTTGAAAAAGAGAGAGAAAAATCAGTGCTTTTCTGCATTTCCTACCCTTGAATTTGCATATACTAGAATCCCATCCCTTCAGTACCTCTCAGGGAGATGACTATCATGGAAATGGAGATATCCAGAGCTTCAAAACTGTCTACGGAAAAGTGTTAGCATGGCAAGGCAATTGCTTCTCAGGCATTTTACAGTCGTGCTGTAAAACAACAGCTGCCTCTCTGCACTGAGTGGGAAAACCACTGTAGCTAGGAGAGCATCCTTCCTGGTCCAAGTACTATCGATATTGCAGGCCGTGTTTACTAGGCCAAGCCTCCCAGCAACTAGCATGCTGCCCTTCCTTGCCCCAAGTGGAGAACCTCCTCCTAGCACATGAGTCTGGAAAGCCTTTTCATTTTTGCTCTGAAGTTAGACCCGTGGATTGGTGCCTGCTCAGCAGCACAGGTTGCAGGTGGATGGGCACTACTGGCCAGCCTTTTGCACTTGCTTGTGTCTCCATGAGCAGCCCCTGTGTTTTATGAGCTTGTTAGCTTTCTGTACCCCCTCCTGTTTTGGTACTGGTGTCCCTTCTGCAGCCCAGACAGAGAAGCTCCCTGCAGAATTCTGTTCATTACGTTACCCTCTTGCTTGCAAGTTGGTTTGGGGTTTGGTTTTGTTCTCCCTCTTCTCTCTCTCTCCCCTTTTCGATGTAAACCGTCAGCTGTGAAATCCAAACTGAGGTTTCCTTCTACGTCCCTATAAAGCAAAATGTTCTTTGGATCCATCCTCCACTGCAAAATTGTCTTGATCAGCAGGCAACTACTCCATTCTTTTCTTTTTTCTTTTTTTTTTTTTCTTTTTTCCCCTCTTTCCCCAAGAAATGCACCTGTAACTGTTTCCCTATATAACGAACTGGGTATTGCTGCATGAGCAGTATATTGTTCAGGTCTGTTTTCCATTAGCATTTGCCTGCTTCTCTGAGCATTACTTTGTTTCATGACACCGTAGGGAAATTGCATGGGACAGTTCAAACTTTGCACGCCTGGGGAGGAAAAAGTTGACTGGGATGCAACCAGTTTGCAGCCTCGCTTTCAAAAAGGGAGGGAGACATTTGAACTTCAGCTGGCTGCGTTCCTGAAAGCACTTCTGTTCTGTAAAGGTTTTGGGTCATGTTCCATTTTGCATTGGAAAACCTGGTACAATCCATTCTGATTATAAAGCTCTGTTCTACAACTGCCTCTGTACATCTTCTCCATTGCAAACGTGTGTCTGCCTGGACCTGTGAGCTGCATGTCCCTCCAGGACTGTTTCACAAAAGGACAGCCCACTGCCCCTTCCTCGTGCCGTTGCATTCTTACGCTTTGTGGAAAGGGCACTAAATTAAAAATTGCTCAAAAAAAGTCAAACTGAAAAACCATGAGTTCTTTCACAAAGACCGAGGTCTCTCCCGACAGAGCTGTTGTTCCACACGGTGTAAGGGCCAGAGTCTGCATTTTTGTTCAACTCTGCTTCCTTGTGAATGCAGCTCTCAGGCTAGCAGAGGGCTGCACAGGCGCTGAGTCTCCTAGAATAATTCATGTTGGCATTGGTTCGTATTTCACGTGGGCCAGATTTGACCGCCAGTAGGAGCCTGTACGCTCCCTGCAGCTCAGGTTCATTGTCAGCACAAGGGGCTGAGACAAAAACAGGTGAAGATGAGTCATTCTGTTCCAAAATGCTCCTTTAAAAGAGAAAAAGATGTGGGGGCTCTCTTTATTTACTCTAGAGCCCAGAGAGGGTATGTGGGTGTGTGAGGGTATGTGCTGGTTTTGGCAGCAAAGCCAGAAAATCCCACCCAGTGGGTGAAGCAAGAGAGTGGAAGAAGATGGCAGTGAAAAGGCACTGGTTAGCCTGTGACTTAAACTTCTCTCCTCCCTTTCTCAGGAAATGCTGAACTGGTTAGGACTTCAGAATGAGATATAATCCAGTGCTAGCAAGCGTGAGTGAGTGGAGAAAAAAAGTAACCTTGCTTGAGTTGGTCTTTCCGATGCCCGGTATTTTGAATAAGCCAGATATAAAAAGTATGTGTACGTGCCTGTCATTGTGGGGAAGCTTCTGCAGAATCACACTGATATAAATAATTCCTGTGCACGTCTCTAGAGGTACCAGTGTATTTGCTTTTGGGTGTATCAGTCATCCAAAAAAAATCAAGAGCTTAAGGCTGAGGAGCTGCAGTTTCTTGGAGTCAAAGCCAGCCAGAGCTGCATGTTGTACAAGGTCTGTGTTGGTAAAGTGTAGCAGGAGGGAGAAGTACCAATCTGTCACTGTGTTTGTAGCCTGCCCAGCTTAAAGGGCCTGGTTTCCAAGCACACCAAGGGGACCCCTGTCCTTGGGGGCTGCTGCTGGAGGCATGTCTGAAAGCTATGCTGCCTGCTTCCACTGCTGGATTTAGATCCCATGGGGCTCTCTGACACAGTACAACTGGATCTTGGCATCCACTATGCCAGCTTGAAGCCAAACCGTTCATGATACCGTCATGAGAGGTATCTTCTGTTCCCTCTATCTTCTGTTTCCACCCACTGTATCTTCCCAGCTGGTATTGCTCAGCTGCTGACCAAGACTCTGCAGAGCTGTGATACAGGAGCTGCCTGAAGAGCAGTCTCTCTTTTGCTTGAGCCTCAGGCTGGTGTTACAGCCCTCCAGGAGAAGAGAGGAGAAGGAATTTACCCAGCATCTGTGGGAGTCTGGGTGTCTGCTTTATGAACAGGGCTTGTGGTTAGATGGGATAAGCAGGGGCTGTGCTACTAACCCCAGATGTGAATGGGAGTGTTGTGCCCAGCATTAGTTTGAGAGGTGTTTCCTGCAGTGCCCATCTCTGGAATAGGGAAAATCCAGTATGACAGTTAACAGTTACTGTCGCTGTTGGCGATTCCTGGTTTGTGACTTGATGCAGCTGTTGTGGCAAGACATGGGTGAACTCGTACTTTGAGAGGAGACTGGCATTTTCATCTCTACAGGCTTTGCAGTGTGCCTTGTGCCCACAACCATCCCTGTGGTTTCCTGCCAGGAGCTGATTTTAGTGAGACCTTCCAGCTCACCTGCGTCTGAGTTGCTCAGAGCTGTCTTGATTGCTCAGCACTTGGATATCCTCTCCCCGTGATTTCATCCCGTGCAAAGGCACCAGGCTCGCAGCATCTTCCTCCTGACTGCCTGAGCCCCAAGTCTTCTTAGCACGGGTGGCCGTCCCTGCTTGCTAAAGCTCTTGCTAGTCTTAATCTGTTTTAATGGCTGTCACAAAACTCATCCCTGCAAGAAGATCAAGCTGCTTAGCACTACTGATGAGCGATGTACCCCAGCCCTGCATGACAAAGCCTGTGCCAGAAGGACCAAGTCTCCTGATACCCAGCTCATGGCTTCTTTCACCCACTTGCCAAAATAGCAGATAGAAACAGCACAAGGACGGATTTGTTGCAGCTCCCACCTCTAAAACCACCCCGTCTCCAAACCACCTCAGTTTTCAGCATCCCTGCGGGAAGTTGTCCATCAGTCTTCTGCCTTGAGGCTTGAGAGCTGTCTAATAATTGCCATCTAGATTTATTCCTGGCCGACTTATGCTTATTTGTTCCTTTGCCAGCACTGTTGTTTAAATACTGCTGCCCCTGCTCCCAGCTCTGCGCGGACAGGGCTCATATCCCTGCTCTGCCGTTGTTCTGTGAGACGGGCTGTCCCCCGGCTGTGCTAGCAGCCATCCTTGGCACCACTTCCACTTTGAGTTCATTATTTTTGTAGCTGTGCCAGTGCAGATGAGGTTGTGCCAAGGCTCATATTTAATGCTTCCCATATAATATGTCTCCTGCTGCATCCTAAGATGATGCTGACCTTTTTCACAGCTGTATCTTGCTGATGACTTGAAAGTGGCTGTGGCCTGACCGATACACCAGGTCTTTATCTTTCCATGTGATTTATGGAAAGGGCCAAATGCAAGGAACGCAGTGATCCTGCACTTTGAGGGATTCAGTTTCACCCTATTTCTGTTGTTCCCTTAGGGTCCTAACAGGTTTTTCCTCAGCTTGCTGAGGCCCAGGGGTGGGAACTTGCTTCTTTCCCCCCAGCAGTGAACATGCAAAAATTATTGAAACTTGGGCTTTATCAGGACATAAGATAAACTGGAATTAGCTGGTGCTTTCTGAGGAGGCCTGCTCCGCGGGTAGCTATGCAGGCTTCTGGCAGTGCTGCTGGGCTGTATGGCCACAGCATGTTAGACAGGGCTGTGACAAGCCTCAGTGCAGCATGGGCCAGGCAGAAAGGGAAGGAGGGCAGTGAGCAGGCAGGTGGCCAGACTGGGGGGAAGGACATCTAATGAACATGCTGCCTTATAACTTTCCTAGAGTTGAAGGGTCCCCATCCTTGGAGAGACCACAGTGCTTGGTTGTCCCTGCGGGATGCCCCTGAGCTCGCGAATGAGTGATCCTGGGGAAATCCCGTGGTAGGATGGGCTTATGGACTGGTTGCTGTAACCTAGCAACAGCCTCAATCATGGCATAATATAATTAATCCAGTGTTGGCTCAATATGCTCCTTAAAAATACTAGGGTAAGTGGTTGAGCCTTTTTAATGTGTGGGTTTGGCTTCCAAAACACCTTCAGCATCTGAGATGTGTCACACACGTTCCAGGCCCTAGGATGGCTCATGGGGAATTTCTAGTCTTCCTCTTACAGCTGCTTCCCATTGAGGTTGCTGAGCAAAGAGAAATAATCACTTAACACTTTAAAAGAGCTGTAGTCACTGAAGCCCATGCGTCATGTAGGCTCAAGGCAGGCTTTGGCTACGTTAGGAAATGCCAAGTAGTTAGCTAAACCTGCAGGTTCAGGTGCTGTGCAGGCTAGAGCAGCCTGCAAGAAACCAAGATGATTTTCTAGGTTGACCCAGGAGGCATTATTTGAACACACCTATGCTGTGCCTGGAGCTGCACAAAGGACATTGCAGTGGGGCAGCAGACTCCAAACCCCCATAAAACTCATAACTGAGCTCCAAATTGCTGGCAGGGTCTAACTTAAGTGGTGGAAGGAGGGGAATGTAGTAGTGTGGCTTTCCAGTATAGCAGCAGGAAGAGACTGGGGTGGGTCTTGGGTCTCCAGGTGGCAGGGGAAATCTGAGATGCCAATGTCCAAGCAGCTCCCTTTTCAGCATGCCAGTCACAGGCCAGCAGCAGCCCCTGTGCCCCGGCCCTCCTCCAGGAGAGCAGGGCAGGTCCTGCCAGGGAGCAAGCGTCAGCGTCGGGGAAGCTGTGCCTACGTGTAAGTCTGGCCTGAGTGGCCGCTGCAGGGTCTGTTCTGACACCTGCAAACTCACTATAGGGAAGTCAGTGAAAGGAGCAGGCGTTTCCCTGAGCTGGTAGGAGAAACACCCCTTCTCCTTATGCCGTTGGGAGAAAACACTGTGTCGAAGGTGTTGGGCTGTCACCCTGGCCTTGCTCGCCTTGAGCAGTGCCTGATATTGGGGTCACCGGCCCAACGCTGAGGAGGTTAGTTCACACGTTGCATTGAAAGCTGCTGGGAAGCAGACGATTTGGGGGGGACTGTGAGAGGCTGCTCCTGATGCTTGGTGTTGCTTGGGCAGGTTAGAGCAATGCCCTGCACTGCCTGGTTCTGCACAGGCTGCTGGGGCCCCGGCTCCTGCCACCCACTGGGGCCTTGTCCCCTTGGACGGGCAGCGCTGAGATCCTTCCTTACAGGCACCGCAGGGGCTGGGGGCACCCTGACCTGGGCGTCTGCTTGGCTCTGCCACCAGTGTGGATCAGGAGATGGATGCCCAGCACTTGGGCTCATGGCCCTCAGGGACTGTCCTCCTTGTTCCCAAGGAGGCAGACTGGAACGTGGGGTTTACGACCCTCTTTATGGGCAGGGGTCCTATGGCTGGTGGTGATTTAGGTGTCAGACAAACGCAGCAGCCGTCTTGCTTTTGGCAAACCATGCTCACCCTCTCCATCTGCCACCAAAGTCGTTCTGGACTGCAGGGCAGGCTCTAGCTCCCTCCTGAGCCCCTGAAGCAGCCTGGACTCTCCCTTATTTCCATTTTAATGCTGAGAGAAGGGAGCTAGTGCAAAGGAAAAGAGGAGGAGAGAAAATGGAAGAAGATAAAGAGTCCTCTGCAGCAGCATCCAGCTTGCCCAAGGTTTCTGAGCGAGCCCAGGGCAGTGCAGCCCTGTGCTAACCACTTCCCTACTTAATTCTCCTTCTGCAGGGGCTTGGCTGC